AACAAATATACTTAGTGTGATTGGTTATGATCCTTGCTTGCCTTTAAAGAGACCAAGGTTCAAATTCCAGTGCATGCCTTTTTTATGAATAAATAAATAAGAAAATAAGCAATTGTGAAGACCAAAATGTCCTTCCTATAATCACTCTCGTTGCAGGAAATTTGAAACGGAGCAACAGTTTTCATCATTCGGCTTTTATTTATTACTAGTGTTTACCCGATCCGTTGGTCGGATGAATTTTGTTTTATTTTATGTTAGATCAATATTTTCATACTTTAAAATAATTTGGACTTTTCTAAAATAGTTAATTCATTACTTCAAAATAATCTTTATGATATTTCTTGATTATGACATTGGCTATAATTAATTAATATGCAATTTTTTATCAATTCGTTCATAGTTTATATTAGAAGAAACTTTTGTACTTCATATTGCTGGATATGAATACGGAGTTTGAAGAAAAAAATGTCATTTAGAATTTGTAGGAATTGAAGGTCTATCAAAAAATCAAGAGAATAAACAAAAGGTTATATGCTTAGAAATTTCAAATATGGAAAAATATGAAAAAATAATGTTATTGTACAAATTATTATAATTTAGTGTATAGACTTGTTTGAATAATAAGTGAGAGATGTTAAGTGTTAGATACTAATGTTTATTGTCAACCCAATTTAGCCTATTGGCTCGATTGAGTAAGTGGATTGAGAGTTAATTGTCCAATCATTTTAGAAAAATTTCGAAAAACACTAAAAAAGGTCCAAAATTAATCACTTGTAAGGCAAGTGAATCATCTGCTCGCAATTAACCCTAAGCAGTGAATAGGTGTTCCACATCCCTTCTCATCGTCACTCTTCGAACAGAAACTCCAAGTAACATAAAGAGCATAAAAATGCACTAAGTCTTAATGGAATCAGGAACATTGACTATTTTGAATCAAAGAGTTTCTTTAAACTCGCCACACTGAGTTAATTAGTCTTTTGCATACTCCCCGATCACCTATTACACGTAACTATAAGGAAACACAAATAACAATGAAATTTGATAAACTCTTGGACCTTGTTTCCTTCTCAGATTCTTCGTCTTTTGCCTAGAAACCCCAAAGTTGTTCTAGTACGATGACCAAGAGCCTTTCATCATTTTCTCTTGGTTATTGAAAATTCATAGTGCAAAAAAGTCATTGTTGAACAATTGTATGAATAAGTGAATAACATGTGTAGAAAACAGAAAAGAAGCATGGTAGAAACATGCTGCTAGTTTATTGAATGAAATCTTTATGAAGAAAAATAGGCTAACTACAACCACATAGAACTTTTAATCATACAACAGTACAGTGTGTTTCAAAAATAAGCTAAAAGAAATTTAAATTTTTGAATACATCAAAATTAAAATGAGAAACATGAACGACTTCATAAGCAAAATTGATCTGAGTATAAATAAACAGTAATACGTAAGAGCAGATAAACTAACTTTGGACACTAACTTTGATTTGCTTGTTTCCCGCTCATCATTGGGACTAAAAGGAATTATTGAATATATTCATATACATCAGAATCTCTAAGCAAAACAGGTATGCCTTTTAATTGAAAGATTAAAACAAAGTTACATAAGAGGAACTCTCCCAAAAGCCAAGGCTAACCTTTATCCTCAAGACACAACATAACATCTAAGCATATTACTGAACATCTGGACAAAATAGAAGAAGAAATAGAAATGTAAGATACCGATCCAAAATCATTTTGGAGTCTTTTTGTGGACAAAAACTGGAGGAAAATATGGACAAAACCAGCAACGAAAGCACGTGCCATGGTCAGAAATCATAACATAGTTATCATCTCCAGCCTAAACCAACATGTGAGCAACCAATCTCAACTATTTGCCCCCTCAGAAAGAGAAGCCCGGTTCACAAAAGTAGAAACACAAAGTAAACATAAGCAGTCGCTTAGGAGTCATCCAAGAATTAATAAGGAAAAAAGTGACATTGAGAGAGAAGTGGCATAGAAAATTGAAAGAATACAGATGATGAATCTTAGTCTTAGAAAAAAAAATTAGTTGACCCGTCGATACGATATAGTTTTTTAGTCCTTAGAAAATACATATGCATAACCAAAATTTAGACCTGTGTGACAAATGTAGTTAATCTATTGTACAATTAATAGCAAAAAATTAAAACTACCACCCCATTCAAAAATCTCTGCCTCCATAGTGATTTGTGGAGGGGTAGTTTGTGAAAGCCATTTTCTGCTGGGCGGCAATACAACTATTTAACTGCAAATTCGTGAATTTCCTTGCAAGATTTGTGCTTCAACAAATAATAATTCGTGAATGTTTCTCGAATTATTCGAAGTTTGGATTTTTGTGGGCTTACTTAATATTAGACAATGTGTAAATCATTTTAACAAAAATGATTTTTTTTTAAATCACACAACTATTCACATTTAGGTAAATAAGTCTTTACCTGTTCCTAACATCAAGGTAAATGACACTCAATAAATGCACTCATTACCCGACTTGGCTACCTCATAAAATACTACATTTCGACCAACTACTACTAATACGACAAATAATAAGTATACTTTTTGTTAGCCATAATTCGACAAAGCCTGGTCCGGTTGATAATATGATAAATCAGACTGCATAAAACCACAATGGTTCACTCCTGGCCCAATCAGTCAAATCAAGCCCAATGGGCACTTAGGTTTCGGAAGGGTGGATCAGTATGGAGTTTGTCCTCCGACGTTTGAGTACGATGGTGGACTGGGTGGCCTGTCAGGCACGAATGTTGTCATTACCTCAGGACTGGCTATTAGTTACTAATATTATTGCTCCTCTGTTGTAATTAACCATTTGTCTCTTCCTTTGATTTACTTGGAACAAAAGGGTTGCTCTTTATTATAAAAAAAAAAAACCAACCCACTTATCTAACCTTACCTAACACACCTGTATTTTTTTTGCTAAAATGAAGGTTTAAACTTGAGTGAGCCTTTTCTTTGGTGGAAAGTGTCTCTTTTGGGTTGGTTCGAGTTTTGGGTTACACACTCATAGATACCCAGCCCAATCTATGTTATAATTATTTTCCTAAGTTTTTGTGCTCAAAACGTTTGTGTCGTATGCAAACATATTTGTGAGAAAGTTTATATTTTGTCATATTTTCTTCTTATGGTCCTACTAAACTAATGTATTTTTTATCTGAAAATTTAGATTTAGAGTTAATATAAGCCACGGTTCACTTTTTTCTCTCTTGTAAACGATTATAGAAGTACAACATATTTTTGTGTTGGGTTGGGTTATTACTTAAACTTAATCATAAATAAATAGTAGGGTTCTAATTTTTTTGAGTGAGTTTGAATTTAATATTTTAAAAACTAAAATGTATAAATTAAGTGATTAAAACGACTAAATCTGAAACACCCGAGAGCCATGTACACCCCTTAGTTCAATGTTGATTATTCATTAAAGTAATGCACGATTTTTTTTGTACAAATCCAATCTAGCTTTATGTCATTTTATGGGCACGGAGCGTGGTAACTTTACCATTCTCCTTTCATTGTTTAAAAGTATATATATTCATTACATAGCAAGTTACGTCGAACGTGGGTTTGTGGCATCGTAAGGAATTCGACGGGATGGGAGCAGTTGGTGCCGGTGGTGGAGAGCTTGTTGGGAGCAGCAAATTGAGGTGTGTGGGAAAGGGAGAAGAAGAAAGAAGTGGGCCGGGACACTACAATACTGGGAGGAATTTTTTTCACGCCAGACAGAAGTAATAAAAGAAACTACCGAAATAAATAATCCTCTGCTGCTGCCTGCCATGTCAGCATCCGAAAATCCCTCTGGATGCAGAGATTTCTGAATGGTGGTGGTAGTTTTACTTTTCAGCTATAAATTATACTGTAGATCTAGATTAAAAAAACAAAAAAATTATTATATTTAATTTCCACCTCAGTTTAGCAATAAATTAAACAAAAAATCATTATAATTACCAAAAGTAAAATATAATTCTTTGATAAATATCGGGCGATATTCATAAAAAAATCTCCGGCAGGAGAAATCAACGGAATTGGGTAGAGACGGTGGAAGCAACTCGATCGGGAGCAGAAGCAGGCGAACGGTCATCTCTTTCTCTGTTTTTATCCTCCGTCGAAAACCTACCAAAAATCCGCCGATTCCACCAAACGTTGACTAGTTTTGCTGCGACACACTGGCTGCAGCAGCTCCTTGACGGCGGACTTGTTAGTTTTGCAGAGGGACCCATTGCAACTCGTCGTCAATGGCGGTCAAATACTTCGAAGCCAAGGACTCTCAAATGCTCAAGAACGATAAGCAAATCCTAGTTCAACTTCGACCTGTGCTTCTTTTCCGAGCACAATCCCAGCAATATGATTCGTGTAGATCTCTTCCCCTTTTAGAACAACGCAGCGGAGAAGCAAAGAAAGAGACATGAAAACCCCAATCGAGCGCCCTCTCAGTGCACCACCAGTAGTCCTGGAGGATCTCCCCCTTCCAGGCGAAGACGTCGGGCATCTCGATCTGGGTCCTGCAGGAGATGACGCCGGGCATCTCGATCTGGGCGAGCTCAAGCTCGAGGCAGCCGAAGTCGGACTGGGGCATGTCCTTGGTCTTGTAGTCCCGGCCGGTGGTGGTTTTGTCGACGACGAGGGCCATTGCGACGACGACGGGGATGGGAATTGGGGATCTGGAAAATTGGGGAGGAAGAGAGGGTGGACGGTGGAGGTGGGCCTCAACCAACCGACGACTAGGTGGAGGTGAGGACTAGATAGTTAATTTTATATTTTAATAGTTTTAGAAATGAGGTGGAACTGTAATAATATTGTAAAATTTTCAAATTTTTTATATATATATTTTTAATTGCCACGTCACCTATTTAACGGTCAACTATTAAAGTTGACTGCCACATCAGAAAAATTTAACGGAGACTAACGGAGAGTGACCAAACTTGAACTGTTGAACTAATCCTAGTGACCATGAATGGAATAAAGTAATTTGAGTGGCAAACGTGAATTTTTTTAGTAATCTCAGTGACCAAACTTGCAATTTAGCCATACATTTGTGTAACAAGTAATTGAGGTTGTGACAATGAATGTATATACAGAAGTTTATGTAATACATGTGTTCCACGCTCTTTCATACAGACAATTGAAAGGGGAACAAATGAAAAAAGAATGAATTGGATGGTTAACAGGCCAAAAAAAATTTCACCAAACCAAAGTTCATACGTTAATGTCCAACCGTTTCGACCTCGTACTGCTGCTGCTGATTTCTTGAGAACCCAATGAGGGGAACCTCGGGAAGTTGTAGTTCTCCATCACGGAGACTGGTTGCTGAGGATAGAGCGTGGGAGGTGGCGTCAGATTTCGCTGTGCAGGCAAGGGAGGTATACTGTTGTATTTGTATGGATCACCACCCACACTGCAAGAAATAGTCACCAAAAAGCCATTGAGATCACGGGATGAGGAAGGATCTAGGATCGGGACAAGCAAACAATTCTCAATCTCCAGTGCCTTTCACTTTAGAGATTGAAATACACAATTATTCTAAGCGGGAGAATTGGAACAAGTTTACCTCGTGCCCCTGTAAAACTGGTTCTCCTCGGTTATATCTTCATCAAGACGTTGCTGTGACCTCTGAGCTGGAGAAGCTGACCATGGACTAGGAGTGCTGACTAATTCATCTGAGAAATATCTTCTCCGGATTAACTGGAATCAACATGGAGAGTTGGCTAATGTCAAACATATGAAGGGAACATGAAATAGAGGGGGGAGAGAGAGAGAGAGAAATGACATGGCGAATATGCATTACTGACCAGACGGAAAAACTTTATCACAGCTTCCTTGTCATATCTTGCTTCTTTTGCAGCCTGTCCACATTTAGCATACAGATAGTTATTTGGATTCCCACCAAATTTTAAAGGATTTAAATTTGATTGATCAACTGTTCTGCAATTTGAATAGCATAATCATGTATACCACATTACCGCAATTTGCAGACCAGGAATTCATACCTAAGCTTATTGCACAGTTTCCATAACAAGTATTTGACAAGCAAAACCTCAACTAAAGGACTTATCTCGGGCATGGCTTCTCATTATAGCAATCAAAATCACTAAACATAATGGTACAAGGATGCTATTTTGTGAATGAGTTAAACGAGAAGGGCATTATTCACGGCATTGCATAATTGAGATTAATTGATATTAGAGGATAAAGGTACAAAGTGTCAGTCCAAGAGGCACATATGATCTACTAAAATCATAAACCTCTCAGTGCCCTTCCTCTATTTATATAAAGCAATTAGACGACCTTCGGCCCTAAAAATCTTCAGAGTTGCTTACAGGCAAGCCTAAGCGAGAACAAAATGTTGAGTTCACCTTGTGTCATAAAAAGGCTGGTGGACCAAAAGAACTTACAGCAAGCAGTCCTGCGCTGCCCGGGAAGCTGTCAGTTAATGGAAGTTCCTCGCTGGTTGGGAGCAGTCCTTGCTTCTCAACCCACTGGCGAGCAGCATCAACCAGGTTGCTGCTGCTTCCTCTTGTGCCTTCCTTTGCTGCCACATCAGCTTTATTGCCAATAGCAATGTAGGGTACAGGGAGACCGCCAGGACCCCCAGAACCCAAAGGGGCAGAGAAGGTTCCAGTTGCTGCAATTTCTGAAGCCCATTGTAGCAAGCTTGTTTTCGTCCTTCTCTGTGAGAGATCATGAACAAATATAACTCCTGAAATAAACATTTGAACCCAGAATCATGAGTAAATGCTAGAATCAGGCTAGCTAAGCAAGAGAGAGAGAGAGAGAGAGAGAGAGAGAGAGAGAGAGAGAGAGAGAGAGAGAGAGAGAGAGAGAGAGAGAGAGAGAGAGAGTCCAGAATTAGACTAGCGAACCCAGCTATCTCAGTCCAGGACAGGAGAATCTAAAATCACCAGACTTCAATTACAACTAAAGCTTATGCTGACTGGACAATCAAATCACTAACTGCCATAGGATACACATTCTAAGTGCAGCAGAAGTAATCTTCAATGAAATCATTCCAAAGCTGATGGAAATAGTAGCTGCAGAGCTGAGTCTGTGCTCACCATTAATTTGGGAATAGAAAAGAGACCTACAATCTTTGTAGCGCTCGTGACCTGACACATCCCAAAGCTCCACGAAGAAATCTCTCTCACCATCACCTTTCATGCTGCTGGAAGAGCTGCCACTACTTCCATAAGTAATGTGCTGCAAAGCAATAACAGTAATCATCTCGGTGAAATAGTGCAAATTGAAACTCTAAAGTTATAAGCAAAATTAGCACAAAAAAAGGTGAAAAAATAAATATGCTCCATGTCACCTTGACATCAACATTGCATCCAACAGTTTGAGGAGGGCGTCCAGAGGAAGAGCCTTTGACTATCAGATTCACAAGAGAAGTTTTCCCCACACCTGTGGAGGTTAACACTTTACATGTTAACAGCTTAATTTACAAGACAAAGAAATTATGCCACAACACAGAGCAACCCATGCCATAATTAATTTCAACAAGATAGGAAGGTTTTGACGTAAAATCGACATTCAGCAGCCTCGCCAATATACATTTTATTATACACATTCTCCAACTGAATGTTCTCTTGGAACTACTGTAGCATTCCAAGTACCATTACATAGATCCAAATCTGACGTCTAGACTAATCCCCATAGGGCGTCGACAATAAAAGCCACCACATATTCTCAGGACTTTGGAATGAAGTCTCTAATGATATCATTGTCAAATTAGTGTTAAGTGTTGAGTGATCTAGAACCGGGTTTGAATTGGTAATCCCTCGTCTACAGTACAATTCATCAATTAACTACTTTCAACCTCTCTTAAGAATGACAGAAGCACACGTGAGAATCTTCGACCATACGGCAAACAACCAAAGACCTTAATTCATAAATGATCAATCTATCCAATAGATCATCCATGATTCTTGTTTGCAAGGGAACTGTTACTTCTAGTTGACTAGGGGTCTACCTCCATGATGAACGAAGAACCTCATCTCATCCATAATTGGTACTAAACATTCAATACATTACCCAAACGAACGAAGAGACAAAAAGCTAGAGCGATTAATGCACAAGCGTTTACCAAAGAGAAACTAGAAATTTACCTGAATCACCAACAACAAGAACACGAACCAGACCACACGGTGGACCACCATTAAGCTCCTTGCTCTCTCTTTCACGATCCCTCCAAAACATTGTTCCCTCTTCGCCGAAACACCAAAAAAATGGGAAGCAAAAATTCACCTCGAATCTCAACCAACAAAACTCGAAATTCGACTCAGTCCTTCACTTCTAAGCCAATCAAGTCCCATCGAACACACTCAATCCTGACGAGAAAATGAAGATTCTCCAAATAGGTATGGCTGAAATAAACCCAAAATCCATCTCACCTCTGAATCAAGCCAAGGTATGAGCTCATCTTGGAACTACCAGTAAATCCTCCTCCATATTAATAAAAACTGCCAATGCCCTCCTTCAACTTACCCCCAAAAGAAAACAGCTGAAGTACGAAACGGTAAACAGATCGGGGCGACTCAATTTTCCTTCTAGGGCAATCTTCAAACCCGGGGGAAAGAACCGGGAATCTCTCTCCAAAATCGATTAAGAGGGGAGTCGCGATCTGCAAGCAATGAACTAGGACTGGAACGAAACTCTATAAAATATGCGATCTTGTCACCGGAAAACTTCCCGTCGAGAGGGCAAACCAAATCGGAGGGACGGAAGCTGGCAAAGGCCGAAGTGAAGTCTAGAAACGGTGCAGAAAAAGGCAAAGCTTTGGATCGCGGGTTGGGGAAATTGAAACGGAGGGTGAGAAGTGAGATCACGCGCAGAGAAGCGCGTTATTTTAGCAAGCACGCACTGGTGGAATGGGCCGGTGAGCGACGGACAAGATCCGAAATTATGGATCCGATCGAGAGAGATTGTAAGATATGGGCTAATCCGGTTTCCATCAAGCTCAGGCCCAGATCAAGTGTTGATAAACAATCCACAGAAAAACACACACCTTGTGGGGGACAACAGATTGCCATACAACTCTCAACTAAAAACTATATAAAAAAAAAAATTTTGTATGGGACCTAGCATCTCCAATAGTGAAATTCATTTGTAATTTCATAAGTTGTTTCCACTTTTACTTTATAAATTTACGAAAATATCAACTCCGAATAAATTCATTTGCAATTTCATAAGTGAGAGGACGAACAAAGAAATTGAGGAAAGAGGAGAAAAGGAACAAGTTGGAGGATGTAAGAGAAAAAGAAAGAAGATGTAGTTTTGAGAAGAAAAAAAGGATTAAAAATTTTAAAATAGTTTATGAGGATCAACTATTTCAAAATTCCACAATTGAGTATTTTTTTTAGATTCATGTCTTAAAAAGACTGATTCTGTAGAAATTCAAAGTGAATGGGTGATTGTGCTGAAATCCTTGATCCAAATTCATCATTCAAAGGACTCCTAAGTATTTTTTTATGGTTAAATCAAAAAATTTCATTAAGAACAGGCATAAAGCCTCTCAAACAAGCTGTACAATCATCAAGAATAGCAAAAAAAAACCTATAATCTCAGCCCTATCACATCCAAACTTTGGCCTAACAGGTCTACACTCGCAGCTCTATACATCAGAATCTGCAGAACATCTTTACTTACAATATCAGGAGATTTCACTGCTTTTCTACCTTACATTCTAGAGCAGCGCTCATGCCAAATGAGACTGACCACCAAGCTCCAAAATGCACGACCAACAACAGCAGAAGTCGTTGAACAGTCGAACAATCATGAAACACCCTTTTGTACTACTAAATGGGTAGGCATGTTAATAAACGAGGAGCAAAGGTACAAGTAATGAAATTCACGAAGCAATAACAAAACCACTAGATCTCTTCCAGAAGAGCTTCATCCCGGTCGAGAACCCTCTACCCCATCAATACTCATTGTATCGCTAGTTGTAAGTCACCATAGAATTTGTAACACCCTAGTCGAATCCCACATCGACAAAGCACAGGAGAGAACCATAATTCATAAGTAAGAAAACGATCTTAACTAACAAGACGCATTTTAAGGTAAAATGGAAGAATTCTTGTAAAAACTCCAAAGTTAAACATGCTCACTGTGGAGCACTGCAAAGATGGGTGATCTTATCGAAAGCCACCTTGATATGCGCCCCAAGGCAAAATCTGTGAGACTCTAGGCCCAAAGCGCACAATATCTTGTCGGCAAAAGGTTCGGGATGTTACAAGTGGTATTAGAGCCTCTCCATGTCCCTCTTGAATGGTGGTGGGATAAACCTCAATGAGAGCGTTGAGTCCCAAAGAGAGGGGTACATGTAATACCCTAGGCAAATCCCACATCGACAACAACAGGAGAGATTCATGATTTATAAGTAAGGAATCGACCTTAACTGACAATATTCATTTTGGGGTAAAATGGAAGAGCTCTTGTAAGAACTTTGAAAATTAAACGAGCTCACTGTAGGTCATTGCAAGGATGGATGACCTTATAGGAAATCACCTTAACATGCACCCAAAACAAAATCGCTGAGGGTCTAGACCCAAAACAGACAATATCTTACTCGAAAAAAGTTCGGGATGTTACAGAATTTGACAAACAAAAAGTCTTCTTCCATTTTTTTTGCCTTGCTATTTTCTATACCCTCTCAACCAAAAAGAAAAAAGAAAAAGATTCGTTATCACTACTAACGTGAAAATTTTTATTCATATTCGTAAATAGATAGCTAAGTAGCATCATAGCATACAATGATCATGTCGTTACATTACATATATGTACAGACAAACTTTTACATCGACTACATCATTGTACTATAACACAAAATATCAGCCAACAAAGTAGGAGAGCAACCGTCCATTCTAGTCACTCCATCAGTATACATATAGTCCACACTTCTCCTCTAAGAAAACATCTATGGTTTTCACCTGCATGTTGTTTAAGTGGAACTAGGAGAGGAGGATGAAGAAGGGTAGGGTTTGGTTTGAGTTTTAGTGTAATAGGCATGTTGTTGGATGGAAGAAGGGGATTCATGGGTGTGAACTCCGTCGTACGTTGTGATCACATACCTCGAGTCTTCCCTATCCTTCTCCACTCTCTTCTTCACGCCGCATTCCACGCTTGAACACTTGTAGTAGTGCCTGCAAATGAAAATCAGCACATCATCGATATTTCTTCAAAATGTTTCGAACCAAATTCGTAGATCGAATTAATCACAATTCTTAGAGTTAAGGTCGTTGTATATCGTCCATGGTGGGTTTGTCCGATGGTGATACGTGCAAGATTCGACAATTTGTAAATTGATAGTACTGTCGGCGAGCTATCCACTTGTGTTTATGGAGGAAAGGAAAAACGATGGCTCGACAGTTTCAGTCCTCATACCTCCCCTTAGGTTGTATATGCTTTTGCAAATTACAAGTAATTGTACTATGTCGTTTTATCTTGTTTTCAGATAGTGTTTTATGTTCAAACTTTCGCTGCCACTGCTGAAGCTAAGTGATCAACTAATTGCTCAAAAATGTCAATTATTGATTTATTGTCGTAAATTAACTGGTCTCGAGTTGAGTTGTTGCGGCAGATGTTTATGTATGGATCTCAACTCATGAGTCTCAAGTTTGCACGGGCTGCAGTATACAAGGACAACCCAACTCTAATACCATATCATAAACCAACTAGTTCTAATAATTTAACTTATTTGAATATTCATTTTAACCACTTTATTATTACCATTATTGACCGCTACATAATAAATATATGAATTGAACACTTCTAAAATAGAGAAAGAGCCAACCCAGTGGGGTAAACGAAAATATAAGATATATAGAATGCTAAGCATATAAAATCATAATACTAAAAACAGTGTGCCAACTGCCAAACCACTTTTTTCTAGCGGGTTTGCTATCAATATACCTCCATCGAAAGAACAATATTAAATTTGCAACGAGAATCATGAGTTCATTGAGCTAGCTAGCCACCAGTTTCTACGTACTTTCATGTGGAAGGACTTAACCAAGTGGAGTACTCACATGTCTAGATGCTTTTAATATATATATACTATATGTGTGTATCTATGCTACGAGCAGACATTAGAATCGGAGTGAGAAGAGCTAAAAACGAAAGGTTATAATGTGGGGCGAGGCAGGACGTCGGACGTAGATAACCATGTCCCGCCCCATATTATTGTGAGTCTAGTAATACCCACCTTATTGTTGATCAGCTCGGATATTACCCGTTCAAATTGCCATCACTATCTGCTAACGCTAAATCCTGGTGGGTTTCACCGATTAAGCATAATTCCTTTTACAACTTTACCCCATTGGCACTGGCGGATCCAGGGGGTGGCCACCCCGGGCCCCGGGCCAGCCCTCATCTGGATCCGGAGTTAGTATAGTCTTTATGAATTTTTTAATTTTAGTTATTCGGTCCAGTGTTATTTTATAATAAGATTAGGTGTAACTAGAAAAGTGATTCAAGTTAACATATTCAAATCACTACTATAAATTTAGCCTAGAAATTCTAGCTCCAAAGATTATTCTTCTAAAAAACAATGAAATCTAAAATTCTGAAAGTCTAAAACAAAAGAGTATAAGAAATATGTGTTTTGTTCCCTGAAAATTTACTAAAGCAGCTAGTGGAAAACCTTTTCAACAATGAAACATATGAAAACTGATTTGTGCAACAAAATGAGCGATGAATTTCTCGCCGATTACTCAAGTATTTTATTTAAAACAGTGTATACTGTTGGTATGAATGTGGACTCCATTATTGATGTATTCCCTAAATTAAAATACCGTCGTGTATAATTTATATTGTAAAAAAAACTATAATATTTTTTTACGATTCTAATTTTCTAATGAAATGCGGCCCAGTGCTTTTCTGTGTTCTGGATCCGCCGCTGCCCATTGGTATAGGTGATGAAAACTAGATATATGCTAAGAATTGATTGGGTAGGGACGTAAGGTTACCTGGGATTAGGGGTGTTTTTGACAGATTTCTTGCCGTACTTCCTCCACTTGAAGCCATCATCCATCACTTCCAGCTCCGACTTGGTCCTAAATGCCACTCTACTTTCTGATCCCTTGCTAATTATTTTCTGCTTTCCATTACCATAATTTCTTCTGCTCTCATGGTAGTCACCATCATCATTCCTGTGTAATCAGATTTTGATCCCAGCTCAATTAGAAAGAAAAAGCATAACACATTAACAAAATCACAGTAATTATATATCACATCTAGGAGCACTATTACTATGCTATATAGTATTGGTGCTTTAATGTACAACTTGAAGTTGTACCATAACATTAAATGTGTAAGTTTAGGTTGGACCATAAAGAAATTTGTATCATTATGTTATTGTACAACTTTACAACTTGAAGTTGTACCATCACATAAAGGTACAAGTTCAAGTTGTACAATAAAAAATTTTGTACAAAAAGTATAGGTACAATATGAAGTTGTACCATAATGTTAAAAGTACAATTTTAAATTGTACCATAAAAACAAAAACCTATAACACCAATACTATATAGCATTGTAAAATTCCTCCCTAACGAGATAGTACTGCAATCGCGAAGCTAAGCCAGATTTTAAAGTGAGGAGGCCCAGAAAATAACAAGCGGATTCAAATTCCCATGATTAAACCTAAATTTTGGATAAGGGTGGCTAATAGCCTCCACCACTGGATAAAGGTTGTAACCCTAATGAACTAAACGCAGCTCCACCACTGGCAACAAATCATATTTTTTCCCCCTCATTTCTTTCCTGAAGAATATATCTATATTCTCGATCTCGTTTCAGTATAAT